CAATGAGTCAACGAACACTCCTAGATCTCTTTCAGCTTCCCCCGTGGCAAGTTCTATCCCATTCATGGAGTGCATTTATTTCCTATTCTTACTTTTTATGTTTAGTACTTTGCATTTATCTGTATTAAACTGTACTTGCCAGTCATCATCCCATATGCACACCCATCAAACTCCATAAGATTTTGCTGCCTCTTGATTCCACTGTTCCTCCCAATTTGGTGTCATTTGAAATTTTAACTACTTTACATTAGGTCTGGGAATCCAGATCATTAATATATACAAGGAGGAGAAAAGGCCTCAGAACGGATCCCTGAGGCACCCCTCTTTAATGTATCTTACGTGTCCCCACATTGTACTAATGTTCAACCTAACACCCTATCTTGAACAGAATATATAACAGGGCATATTACAGTTATGTAGTCAGAATGGGTGAGCTAATGGTTGGCTACTTTACTTCACGGTGTGATTGAAATGAACAGATGGATCTTTTCACATCCGTTCAGATTTATAACAACTACTACAAATTTAATTTATATAATGCCTTTCACGAAAAGAGGACGTCCCAAGATGCTAGATGTTGAAGAGTTTAATAATAATTAATTGTAATAAGTTTTTCTTATACAAAAAAGTAGTAGCATATCTAACCCATTACATACCCCTCCCTGTTATATAGGGTTTATATAACTGCAAAGACATTATAAAGAGCATCCCACCATGCCCATTTAGAAACATGTAGATCTTTTCACATTATCCCTCTTTTAATCCCTGACTCAACTGGAGTTGGTTCATTCCATCTTGTTGGGAACAGACTGTCCAATAAAGTTAGGAGTGGAACACTGAATGAAAGATGTAAACTTAGGATTTATTACTTCTATCCAGGGTTGTTTGTGGGACACTGCTGTGCGCAATTGGCTGCCGTGTTTCGCCCACAAAATATACAGTCAATTCACTTTACAGTATATTCTGTGAAGCACTTTGAAACGTCTTGAATATGTGATAAGGCGCTACATCAAATGCAAGGATTATTATTATTATTATCGCTTTTTTAGAGTTGCAAAAGAACGTACTGTTGAGGCGTCAGACAATACATATTGTTAGGAAAGCTTTGCTACATAAGGAACATCTTTCAAACAAATGTATCATTTTCCATATTAAGAGTGACTTTTCATTATCAGATAGACTGAAATTTTAATTTTAGCATTTATAAGCACTCTAACCAGTTGGTATAAGCAGAGCATGTAAAAAAACAAGTTATGCCCAGTCTGGCCAATGGCATCAAAGGGTAGGACACATGGAGCCAAGGTTTGCAGCGTTTCAAAACTAACACCAGTGTTAATTTATATAGGATTTGGTTGGAGACTTAACTCCATAGCAAAGACATCTTCAATGGGGGGAGGGTTCGATTGCCCTGCAAATCAGCCAGGGTACAAAACTGTCGGTTTAAGAGCAGAATTGTTTTAAGATCTTGGAGCATCTCATCTGGTAACATTCTTCGTGGGAAATTATATGGCAGTTTGGGGAAAAATTGCGCTACAATCACTCCTCACTATCCACTTCTCTGCATAAAAATACCTGAAGCTCTGCAATTGAATTATTGCCTTGTAATCATGCCCAAGCATCTATCATGCATTATTTATCGTGTCCCATTGGATTTTTGTTTTGATTTTGGAAGAAAAGTTTTTTCCAGACATAATCCAGTTAAGGAGGAAGTGTTAGCCTGCTTCAGTACACTTGGCTTTGGGTCAGAAGAGTGAGTTCAAGCCTCATGTCGGAATTTGAGTTTGTAGGCTTGACTGACACTCAAAGCAATGCAAGAACTGGACTGTTGGAACACATGGACAGGTCACCTTTGTTACAGATCTGAGGGACTGGCTCACAGTGGTTCATAAACTTTGTTCTCTCTTGATTGCTTTGCATTTGCTGTTTACAAGGTTGTAGAAAAGATATAAATAGAACAAAACAAAAATGCAGCTAGCACTTTCTCAAAGTCTTGCTGTAAATCCTCATTAGACAGCTCTCTACTTGGGTGTCAATCTGTTGACATTGAGTACTTAATAATGATGAGTTACTATAATAATAATCCTTCCATTTGATATGGCACTTATTACGTTGTTGAGACATCTCAAAGTGCTTTATAGGATATACTGTAAAGTGGATTGACTGTGATTTGTGGGCAAAATGCAGCAGCCAGTTGCGCACAGCAGTGTCCCAAAAACAGCTGTGAAATGAGTGACCAATTTTATTTGGGGGATTGTTGGCCAGGACTTATACCTCAATGCTGTGAGTCACCGCATAAACCACCAACCAGGAACAAATGTATTTTAAGAAAACAGCAAATGAGCAACAGCCGTAAGCAGTAATTCAAACAACAACCTATAACTTGATATTTTATAATCAATCACAAATAGCTACACCATGGGATAACTATTTTCCCCCATGTAATCAAAGTTGATCCTGAATGTTGAAAAATATCTGCATAATTTTTTTTAATTATTAGAACATTTTGGGGGGAGCAACTGTGAAACAATTCTTGCGTTGGTTGTGTTGCTGTAAATGGTACATCAACTAACCATTCAAGGAAAGGACGGTTTGTTTTACATTGATAATTTGTAAAACATGCTTGTAAACTCTTCACACAAGTGTCTTTCACTACCACTAGAGTTCAATCAGAACTCTACAAAGAGCATTTTTGCAACAGTTAATTTATATAGCGTTCTGTTTGCTTCTTTGTTTGGTATTTACCAGGAGATTGCAGACACGTGTTACAAAGTATTGAAGCTTTATTGTCAAACTACATTAAGAAAGTATAAGCTACACTGTACCTAAATACAATTTGACTTCCTGCAATGCTACACTTTTCAATACAGTAATTGAAAAAAACGTTTTCAAGTGGTGTGTCCTTGAAGCTAAACTGCTCCAAGGTGACGTGTTTGGAAACTGATTGTAGGAATCGAGCCAGCCCTCTGTGGCGCTCTTCGTAGACCCCTCAAGCCACTGAAACTCTTGTTCATGCCTTCATCACCTCCAGGCTCGACTATGCAAACGCCCTGCTTGTCGGCCTTCCCAACTCCTCCCTCCACAGGCTGCAGATAATCCAGAACAACAACAACAACAACAACAAGATTCCATTTATAAAGCGCCTTTCACATCAGGAGGACGTCCCAAGGAGCTGGAACTGTGCAGCCCGTGTCCTCTCCCGCACCAAACTCCATGACCCCATCGCCCCCACTCTCGTCCGACTCCATTGGCTCCCTATCCTTCAGAGGATCCAGTTCAAGATCCTGGTCCTCACTTACAAAGCCCTCCATGGCCTCGCCCCACCCTACCTCTGCAACCTCCTAACCCCCTACCAACCCACCCGCTTCCTCTGCTCAGCCGGCTCTGGCCTGCTCCATGTCCCCCGACCCACCCGCCCCACCATTGGCGGAAGACCCTTCAGCCAACCTCTGAAATTCCATCTCCCAATCATTCCACCTCGCCCCCTCCTTAGCCTCCTTCAAGTCCCGCCTCAAAACCCTCCTCTTACAGTATTCCAGGCCACAGCTGATAACAGCACGGCCAGCCTGGCTTATCATGAGGACCCAGAAGGCCAGACTAGTCATCCCCTCAGCTCCTCTTAATACTGCAAACTAAAGCCCTAATAGGCAGAGTGGCCCTAACTGGACAAGCAGCGGGAAAGCTTGTCATACAGCGATATCAGTGGCAACCTGCCCCTAATACTCTCTGGAATTAGGTAAGCGGGAATGTGTCTCTCGAGGGAGACGGTGTGCATTCCATTCCAATAAATATCTCGGAAATTTCCATGTGTCGGTGGGATACATGAAATGCTCTGGTTTGGATACTCTTAAGCATGGTGATGGTTGACCCCCCCCCAAAAAAAAAATATACAAACACATCTATATCTTTCTCACAGATGTTTTCTCACACATTGGTAAACGTTTGCTTATTTCTCACTGACACTCTCTCACACACACACACACACTATTTCTCCCTTTCAGTTTTGCCAGGCAAAGCACGTTTTATAATAATAATAATAATAATAATCCTTGCATTTGATATAGCGCTTTTCACGTCAGGAGGACGTCCCAAAGCGCTTCACAGAACACACTGTAAAGTGAAATGACTGTATATTTGTGGGCGAACGCGGCAGCCAATTGCGCACAGCAATGTCCCACAAACAGTCGTAGATTGAAAATGACCAATTTAATTATTGTTTTTGGTTTTTTGGAGGGATTATTATTAGGCTCTGTGTGGAGTAAGGAAACTTGCCCAAGGTTTCGCCCTCTGCCTGGAATTAAACTCAGGTCTCTCACTTGCAAAGCGAGTGCTCTAACCACTGAGCTACAGAACTCTTTATACTTGTTTTGTCTGTCTTGCACAAAACTTCAAATCATATAAGGTACAAATGCATCACTCTGGATATTGCAGGCATGAGAACGTTAGATTCAATCCTTTCTGGTCGATCTGGTTTAAATTGCTGACTCTGCTTAGCACAGCTCAGCGCTTGGGGGCAAAATGACTTGGGATTTCATAACAAGCAATAAAAACACAAGTTGCATTTCCAGCTCTTACATAAAATCCTCAGCGAATACTAAAAAACCCTCTGTGCGTGTTTTTCCTCGATAGGGATTTCGTTTGCAATAGGGATCAGCCTTCAGAACCGAGCCAGTGACCTTCAGCTCTCCTACACAGGGTATTTGCAATCATTGCAGCATCTGCCCAGCAAATACACTGATGCTTTTGCGAGCTTTCCTGTGGCTTTCAACACAACGGATTGCAAATGCACCAACAGTGGACTATACTTCACATGAAGTAGATTATTACTGCAATTGTAATCCTCCGTCTTGGGAGTCAAATTCCTTGCAAAGTGGACAGGTGGGAAGAGAGACCAACACGGTGCATGGATTTAAAGGGGGTTCTCTCTGGAGAGGCAAGTCAGCCCCTGTGCCCTCTCAGGGGGTCAAATGGTCCCATCTATTTTGCTGCATCGCAATACTCACGGTTTTTGTACACATCCCTGACGAGTCGGGAAGAGGAGGATGGTTTTGCCAGTGGGGAGAGTCTGTGCAATGCTGTCCTGCAGAGGTACATCGCGTCTATTCGGGAGTTCTTGTCTGTGGTGAGAGAGATCCCACTGCCAGAGTAAAGCAGATGTGTGTGTGAGTGAGTGAGAGTGAGTGACTGTGTGTCTCTCAGCTCACTCCCACAATAACGTCACATCCAGCACAGGCACCAATGTGGCAGCAACAACATAGCACAGTCCCTCCTGCTTTGCAAATCTGATTACAACATTTGCTCGTGGCTCTTATAATAAATAAAACGTTAACCTTGCTTTGCTGCATTGTACTTGAATCTGCTCCAGCTGTTCCACAGCTGGAAATATAACACAGCAGATGACAAGTTCCACTGAAACAGCATTCCCAATACCTTTGACCGCCGTTGTATTCCCACTGTTATTATTTGCGATAATCCTTGCATTTGATACAGTACCTTATCATTGTCACTCAGCACTTCACGTGATTTATTTTAAAATCGAACGACTGCGTATATTTTGCGGACGAAATGCAGAAGCCGGTCTTGCACACGGCAATTTGGCACAAACAGCCATGGAACGAGTGACCAATTATTTTAAAATCTGGGGCACTGTTGGTCAGGGACACCAGGAGAAACTCCCTTTTCTTTTCAAATAGTGGGAATCGTTAACGTCCACCTGAATAGGCAGATGCGACCTGGGCTTAACGTCTCATCCGAAGGAGGCACCTCTGATAATGTAACACACTCCCAGCACTGCACCGGGATGTGATCTTAAGACTGTGTGATTCCACGTTCCAACATGTGGCTTGTACCCTTCTGAGGTTCTGGGTTCAGAGGTGAGAACGCTACCACTGAGCAAGACTGACACATAGTAAATAATAATAATAATCCTTGCATTTGATATAGCGCTTTTCACGTCTGCTAGATGTCTCAAGGCGCTTCACAGAATATACAGTAAAGTGACTTGACTATATTTGTGGGCTAAACGCGGCAGCCAATTGCGCACAGCAATGTCCCACAAACAGTCATGGATTGAAAATGACCAATTTATTATTGTTTTGTAAAGTGAGGTGACTGTATTTTACAGGCAAACACAGCAGCCAATTTGCACACAGCAATGTCCCACAAACAGCTGTGACATGAATGACCAATATTTATTTATCAATATGCAGATGTGTCTGATGTGTACAACCTGAGCCTGCTCCTGTTAAATTACACAGTGTAGACTGGTTTACACTGAATGATGCCACAAACGACCCATAGACAGTCAAGGATGGGAGCTTGGGTGAGCAAGATTAAAAAGATGTGCCTTCATTAAAAAGCAATTTATTTAACATCACTGTTTAATATTAGAGACTCTCTCAGGATTAGAAGTAAGTTGATCTATTCCCAATTGATTAGCCAAGTATACAAACATTTAAATGAGGAATTAAGTAAATACATGGTGACCACAAAGCCTTAATTTGCAAAAAGCCTTAATTTGCAACTACCCTATTATCTAAAAAAAACCATTTCTTTAAAACTTATTAGACATTTTAATGGTAGCACAACTTTTTGGTCATCCTGTACTTGAGGAAAAATAATGTTAATGGGTATGTGGAAAGAGCAGGGGATGGTATCAAAAAGATCCTCCTGTGGGAGCTGGCACCAGTGCAGCAACAGTGAGCCAGATAGTCTTCTATAAAAATATTTTATTCACCTACAAAATAGTCACTGCATATTACAGTAAATCCTGTGAGTTTCTGAGATGTTGTCCCGACATAAAAGGCACATTAAATACAAGGATTATTAGTCTATAAAATCTACTTTTTTTGCATCAATTCTCAGTCTCTGTTGACTCTCTCTCCTGAAGGCAGAGAGATTGGCTGGAGTTCAGTTTTATAGTGCTAGCCATTCTCCATACCTTGTGCATACAAACATTTTCTTCTTGTGGATTCCAGGCAGTGTGCACACCCACCTTTTGACTGTTCTTATTTCTTGCCAATATACTTTTCTTATTGTGAATAACCACATTGGATTGAGAACTCAGTGCTGATGCCTTCAGAGGAGACTTGAACAATGTCTCTCAAGGATTGACTGCGATGCTCCTGTCATGGTCAGATAGTCAACAACACTTATTACTTAGATTCACATATGAATAGCCTTTAGCAAATGTACAGGAAATTGGAAAAGCCTGCTGTCAATCATAGATTTATACTTTCCACTCAGCACCAAAAGACGAAAATGTGGGGGAGAGAAGGAAAAATCCCTTCTCAGACTCAACCCCACTTGTTTCAGAGGGAAATAGATATTTCCATTGTCCACACCAATGAATGGACAGCCTTGTGGGTTCACCGATTTTATTGTGAATAATAATGATGATCCTTGCGTTTGATACAGTACCTAAACACACTGACATGTCTCAAAGCGCTTCAATTTTCTGTAAATAAGCAGTTTTGGAAATTGAGTTGAGATAGCTGCCACTCATTTGATGCAAGACGATTATCGAGAACCTGGGTTTGAACTGAAGCTAGATCCCAATCGACAACACCTTCCATTTATATAGAAGTTCACACCAGACGCCTTGGAACGCTTAAGGCCATTGCTAAACCACTGCTTGTTTGCTGCATCCATTGACATTTCCTATTTTCATCTCATTGTCCCAGCAAATAACTAGTGGATCCAGAAATTACAATTTAATCAGGAGACATACACTACTGATAAAACCAACAATTTCTTAGTGGATATCCGAAACCAATGGGGTAGGAATTGAGCTAATTTTTAATCCATCTTTTTAAGATGAAAATGATGAAAATGCAACACTGTGTGAGGGACAGAAGAAACAAGACACAGACCTTTTTCTCTTAATTTATTTCAGAATAAATCTGTCTCTTGAGCATAAAGCAAAAGAAATTTAAACATTTGTGTACATTTTTCAATTTGCGGGATAGAATCTTCTTGCTCCACGAAGTTTCATAGTCAGGTTAACCCATGGCTCCTTGGAATCTCGACTCCAGGCCTTTCCTTCACTTACATGTTTTTAAGCACTGCAAAAGAAAATAGGAACCAGTTTCATTTACAATATAACACATCAAAGAGCTTCCTGAATAGTGTAATGGAATAACTGTACTGTGTTTCTGCAGCAGGTGGATCAGGACAGAATTAGCCTGGACTTCTTGACTTGGATGCCCCCATAGTCAAACAGTCCATCAACATTCACTGCCTGGGCTCACTGTGTGAAGAATCGTCACATAAGCAAGTTATAAGACAGTTAACAGTCTAATTTCCCATTCTTTATGGATAATCAAGGTCCTTCCGTACTATAGATGCTTCATTATCTGCCAGTTGCAATTGTTCATCAGGTGCTCAATTATGACCGGTCACACTGGTTCCCGCATAACAAAGCATGTGTCAAAGCCCTTATTTGTAGACTCAGGTGAAACCCAAGAGACTAATACTTACAGTATACCTGGTGGTGAGTTACTCGATTCCATTTAGCCTATTGTATTCCTTGACATCATCATCATGTTGCTTGAAGAGCTAAACGTTCATGAGAAAATACAGTGAGGCAAATACAACGCTCTGCTTTGTAACTCTAAATGTTATTACATTCCGAAAATATCAGCCGCTTTAATTACACACAAGCTCTCAAAATAGGGTATTATTTTGGAGATTATTATTATTACGTGTCACTCACCAACTCCCTCTGCGTGAATTATTATGGGATGTCTTTACATACAAACATTGTCATTGTTCCGCTTTTCAACACAGCCACTCCTTATTTTGAAGCTATATATCTGAGGCTCCACTGGACGCAGCAACCTCACAGCTCCAGCATACGTGTATTTTAACCCACAGTTAGTTACAAAGCAAATTCCACCCTCGGATAGCAGGAGTGATGAACAGGCGGCAATCATGCTAGGCTACAACAAATACTCATCAACATTTTGCTAACATGATTTCAATCCATCAGTTTACCGTGTATCCTTGTAATTCACTTCCTGGCTATTATTGTACATCAGACACACAAACCTACCTACCGTGGCTCTGTGTTGAAATAAGCTGTTAATTGATTGTTTTCATCCATCCAAGGTGGAAGCATCAATTACTTGCAATTATGTAGCACCTTTCATGATGAGAGGAATTAAAGCATTTCACACCACTGACAGGAGTCAGAGAGCTGAAGAGGGTGGGGGCATAGAAGGTGTTTGACAAGGGCTTGGAGGGGCTTAGCACTCCCAAACTCGCTGTGTCTCAGACCCGCAGGTTTTCTTCTCCTCGTCACTGACACAAATCCTACAGTTGCTGTTTATATATGGGTTATTTCATAACATTAAAAAAAAGTAAAAAGGGGTTAAAAATGAGTGTCAGAAATGGCTGCAAAAGGCTGAAAATTCATGAGCAGTTGTGGGGAGTCACCGCCAGACCCACCAATACTCTGCCCCTAGATCTCGCTGAGGGCCTCTGGCAACCCCCAGACCCCTCGCTTTAAAGTGTAATTTTTCTGAAATAACATCTCTGCTTTCACCTCAGCTCCCCAATGTAAAAGTCAAAAAAGAGGATGGGGGAGGGGAGATAGAGCTGTAGTGTGCGGGGTAAGCGTACAGAGCAAACACTCATTCGAAAACACTGGTCTTCAGGTGTGCTTTAAAGTTGGGGAGGTAGGGGGCAAGGCAGAGGGACTCTGGGATAGAGTTACAGAGAGCAGGGGCCGAATGGCTGAAAGATGGCCTAGCAATGGTGGGGCAGATTGGATTTTGTACAAAAAAACATGATGATACCATACAGTACACATAAGACAATGAATGTCACTTTAACGCACTGCAACATTAATGTTGAAGCTGAGAACTGCAAGTGTAAGATGCATGCTGACCACAGTTCCACCCAAATAATAATCCTTGCATTTGATATAGTGTCTTGTCATGTAATTGAGACGGCTTAAAGTGCTCCACAGGATATATTGTGAAGTGGATTGACTGTGTATTTGTGGGTGAAATGCAGCAGCCAGTTTGCGCACCTCAACGTCCCACAAATAGTCATGGAGTGAGTGACCAATTTTATTTGGGGGATTTGTTGACTAGTACACCGGGAGAAACTCCCTTCTCTTTTTGAATAATGCTGTGGGACCTTCAATGAGATGTTAAACTGAGGCCCCAGCGTGAAGCAGACCAGGGCCTCATTTTAACCTCTCGTCCAAAAGATGGCAAAGGTGAGACAGAAAACAGAAAGCCGAAAATAAAGAGTGAAAATAAAGAGTTCTGCACAGAAATGTGACACATCTAACTTCATTATTGCATTAAAATATCACCTAAAATATAAATTGTCCCAGAGGCCACTTTTTGGTTAGATCTGTTGTGCCCATTAAGACAGAACCACTTACCAGAGTCCATATTGCTATTGAGGTGCCAAATGCCAGGCCAACACGCAGCCAATTGGGTTTAGTGTAGTCGGGTTTTGTTGCAGTGAAGGCAGAACGTGTAAACACTGAAATGCAGAAAACATGCTTGATTATTCAGCCAAACACGGTTAGGTTTAATTGATGTAGTTCTTCCAAAATAATTCCTGCATAGACTCATCCTATGGGTGAGGCTTGGGGACCCCAGAGGGTACTTTGGGGTATTGCTGGTGTCTAACCAGCTAAAATCTCATAGCTTACCACATCCAAGCCATGACCCGCTCTGCCTTCCCTCACCTCCGTAACATCGCCCGACGCCGCCACTACCTCACCCCTCAGGCCTCTGAAACTCTTGTTCGTGCCTTCATCACCTCCAGGCTCGACTATGCAAANCCCCCTGCTTGTCGGCCTTCCCAACTCCTCCCTCCACAGGCTGCAGATAATCCAGAACTCTGCAGCCCGTGTCCTCTCCCACACCAAACTCCGTGACCCCATCTACCCCACTCTCACCCGACTCCATTGGCTCCCTATCCTTCAGAAGATCCACTTCAAGATCCTGGTCCTCACCTACAGAGCCCTCCATGGCATTGCCTCACCCTACCTCTGCGACCTCCTAACCCCCTACCAACCCGCCCGCTCCCTCCGCTCAGCCGACTCCGGCCTCCTCCATGTCCCCCGACCCGAGAGCCTTCAGCCACTCTGCTCCCAACCTCTGGAATTCCATCCCCCAATCACTCCGCCTCACCCCCTCTTTAGACTCCTTCAAGTCCCACCTTAAGACCCTCCTTTTCGACCATGCCATCGGCCACTCCCCCTTCCCCTCTCCCCCCCCGACCCCAGCTCGGGTCTGAAATGCTGTACGCTGTCCAGCGCCTTGGGACGTCCTCCCGACGTGAAAGGTGCTACACAAATGTAATCTTGTTGTTGTTGTTGCTGAGAGCCCGGTCTGACAAGCTGCCAGGTAGGATCACCTGTCTTGCAGGAGCTGAGTGGAAGGTTCCCTGCCCCTGGTGACCGGTGTCCGCTCCTCTAAGTATCGCCAATGAGGCCCAGATTGGCTGATCCGTCGCCAGCTTTATCGCCCAATTCCACACATTGAAATTTGTCAGTCATTCCATCTTTCGTGCAAGTTTGTGGGGGCGCTCCTGTGCACACATGTTATCTGGGGGGGTGGGGGGTGGGGGTGGGGGGGGTTGTTGGCCAGGACGCCGGGGGAGAAACCCCTTTCTGTTTGTGCATTAGCGCCGCGGGATCTTTAATGTCCAGGTGGGCGGTGGGGGGGGCTGCGGGGCTCGGTCTAACATCTCCGCTTAGCCCGAAGGACGGCGAGTCGGACTGCGTGGGGCTCCCCCAGCATTGCCCTGCAGTGTCAGCCTCAAAGTCCTGACCCATGGGGGGGGGTGGGGGGGGACTTGAACCCACAACCTCCAGCCCCAGAGGTGACTGAGTCACATGGCTGCCCCCAGCAATGAAGGTCCCACACGTGAGGGGAGGGGGCGGGGCGATCGCGAGGGTCCATTGTCCACGACACAAAGGGTGACCCTACCCCAGGCACCGCCCCCCCCCCCGTTACTCACTGTGACAGACGGCGGCGGAGCGGAACAGCCCGCGGGTCACCGTCACCATCATCATCGTGTGTGTGTGTGTGTGAGTGTGTGTGTGACCTTCCGCTCCGACCGATCTCTGCGATCCACCGCCCAGGGTCTGCAGGCAGGAGCAATCGATCCCAGCCGGCTCTCGCGTCACGTGATCCGAGGCCGCGACCACACCCCCCCCGTCACGTGACCGGGGGCTGCCGCCAAATGCCGCCCGGTTGGGCGGGTTTGGGTTGTGACTGCGGCTTTGGGCGGGTTCCTGATTTTTTTTTAAAAAAAACCACGTTTAAAGGTTTAGAACAAACGCAAAATGTTTATTTTTTCTTGCTTTTGGGGACACTTTTTTTACACCGTTGCAAAAAAAAAACACTGAACCTAAATTGGCCACTCTGCCCCCCATAGCAGGCAATGCATAATGTTGAGTCAGTATTTGGTGGACTTTGGGCTACAAAGTATTTTAATTTCTGGCCAAACCTACACACACTGTCCTCTCCCTCTCTCACACACACTCCCCCCCACCCCACCTTCTCGCCCCTCCAGATAGACCGCTAAAGATGCAGTCACTACAGTTCACAGAAAATAATGCTTGAGAAGATATATCGACGTGATAACATGCAGCACCAAATTCAAGCACTGGAATGGAAATACATTCTGTCCTGATATCGCAGATTGTCACAGTTACCCTGTTTTTGCAATCCTTAGTAATATGTAAATATATATATAGTATTATTTAAGGGAAATAATTAGATTCTGGTTAAGAGAAAGCTTCTTGCAGAAGCTGTTTGCAAGAACTAGCAAACGGCAGACGTGAGGTCCCCAAATTGCAACACTATCTGGGCTTTGGGTTGCTTGATTGACAGGCAGTTAGCAAACAACCTGGAAAATCCGTGCACGCTCACACGGGAAAAGGCCTTCACATTCGCGTCATATGGTCAGCGGGGACCAGGCGCCTATAAAAACCAATGCTCTGTGTGCCTCGCGGTCTCTGTCTAATGGTGGTCATCCGGCTGGCCTCGCTGACAACCCAACGCACTGGGGCCCCAACCGCTCACAGGGCAACATAAGGGGACGCTCACCGTATAGACGATCAGCCCCGAAAAGGGAATGTAATGCAAAGAACGGAATGTTATGTATCAGGACACATGGGAAAAATGTAACCAAAGATGTTGTATTTGTACCAAATACTATATTTACAAATAAATATATATTTTCAAGAAAATAGGTGGACAGGACTATTGTACAAGTCAGGTTGGTTTAAATTCTTTTATACTAATGTAGTATTGTGCTGCTAATTGTTACAGTAATGTGTGGTCATTAAATTTGATCCTAGCCGGCACGGACACGATGGGCCGAATGGCCTCTTTCTGTGCTGTATAATTCTGTGATTGTTGTATCCTTAAATTGTTGTGTTTCTTGTATGCAAGGTAGCCTAGGGTTGGTAGGTCTTAATAAAGAACTGCTGTGTTTACCAATTGTATCCTCGAGTCTCTGCAAAAGTCTAAGACAAGAAAAGGAATCAATGACTTAAAGAATAGCTGTCGACATTGGAGTTCCGGCAGTGCGGACAGACCCTGATTCGACATCCCAGTTACCGGGCATTGGAGTTAACCAGAAATACCTGTGAGTGACTAATTCTGAATCGGTTGAGACACCTTTGAGCAGGGACTCACACTGATAGGTTTAGAAAAGAGCAGAGGCCACTTAGTGTCTAAGCGTTACTAAAATTCGCAACTACAACAAGAAGTGATAACTGTTTCAAGATGTCAAAAAGACATGCCAAGCACCAAATCACTACAAGATTTTTTTGGGGAAAAGCTTCATAAATTGGTGAAATTAATATTAGGCTCAGAGTGTACCACACTGGGAAATGTTACGAGTGCCTGAAACTGGCAGGTTGAGATGATCAAATCTTCATAAGATCACAAAATTGGTTTGGATGAAGAAGTCCCTACAGCCCATCTGATCTCATCTCTCCAGAATACCCACCCTTCCTGCCCTCACTGTCCTATGGTGTCCTTGCCTCAACAACTCTTGTTTCAGTCGCTAATTGCCAACTGAGTAAAGACAACAACAACAACATTTGTGTATATAGCGCCTTTCACATCAGGAGGACGTCCTAAGGTGCTGGACAGAGTTTCAGAACCAAGCTGGGGGGCGGGGTAGGGTAGGATGGAGGGCAGGGGGGCAAGCAGGGAGATCAAAAGCACGGTTGAAGAGGAGGATCTTGAGATGAGTCTTGAAGGAGGAGAGGGAGGGGGTGAGGCAGAGGGATTGTGGGATGGAGTTCCAGAGGGTGGGGGCAGAGTGGCAGAAGGCCCACCGGCCAACAGTGGGGCAAGTGAGGCGGGGGATGTGAAGCAGGCTGGAGCCTGCTGAGCGGAGAGAGCGAACAGGCTGATAAAGGGTTAGGGGATCGGAGAGGTAGGGGGGAAGCAAGACCATGGAGGGTTTTGAAGGTGAAGACCAGCATCTTGAATTGTATCCTCTGTGCAATGGGAAGCCAATGGAGTCGGTGAGGATGGGGTTGATAGGGTCATGGAGCCTGGTGCAGGAGAGGACACGGGCTGCAGAGTTCTGGATGATCTGCAACCTATGGAGGGAGGAGTTGGGGAGGCAGATAAGCAGGGAGTTTACATAGTCAAGCCTGGATGTAATGAAAGCATGGATGAGGGTTTCAGCGGCCTGCGGTGAGAGACAGTGGCAGAGCCGGGCGATGTTGCGGAGGTGGGGGAAGGCAGAGCAGGTTATGGCACAGATGTGGGGAAGAAAGGATAGTTGAGGGTCAAACAAGATGCCAAGGTCCCGGACTGGCTTAGTAAGGTGGAGTGTGCATCGTGGATGGTGATGCTGTCAGCGCCTGAGGTGAGGAGGCGCTGACCGGAGCCAATCAGGACAGCCTCAGTCTTGTTGACGTTCAACTGAAGAAAGTTAGCTCTCATCCAGGACTTGATGTCTGATAGACATTCTGTCAGTAGAGCAGTGGTCGTGGAGTCAAGGGTGGAGGCAGAGAGGTAGAGTTGGGCCACCACATGAGACGGTGCGGAGGCTAGAGGAGAAACCATTTGTGGAGATGAAGTGGAGGGGGTGTGAGAGGTACGATCTGAACCAGTCAAGAACAGAGCCGTGAAGGTTGAGGTGAGAGGAGAAGTGATAGATGAGGATAGAGTGTCTTCAAATCCTTCCACTCCTCTGCATCCCCCTACCTCTCTGACCTCTCTCCTCAAAACAGTACTCGTTGCCTTCGATCCTCTCGGTATGGCCTTCTCCTTGTACCCCGAGTCCTCCGCTCCACCCTCGGCAGCCGTGCCTTCAGCCACTATGCCCTGAGGCTCTGGAACTCCCTTCCTCACTCCCTTCACCTCATCCCCTCTCTTCCTATTTTCAGGTCTCAGCTGAAGACCTCTCTTTTCGACCGCACCTTTGGTCAACTTCCTCGGCCCTGGGATCCGTTACTGTGAAGCGCTCTGAGACGCCGTGCAGTGTGGAGGGCGCTATATAAATCCAAGTTGTTGTTGTTGAGTGGTTGACGGTATCGAAGGCAGCAGAAAGGTCCACCTGGTCGAAAAACTTTCTGTTGTCCTGAAATTGCCCTCGTCAGTCTATTATTTGAGTTGGGTGTACAAAAATTCTCTTCCCAGTCCCCTTTATTGTGGTGTTGTAAATGTAATTACTGAAAGAAAGGACATTTTTATATAGAGTTATTGTAAGGTACCTCATAGGTAATTACTATTAAGTGAAGTGACTTATTGTAAGCAAACACAGCAGCCATTTGAATGCTAAAAGTCTCACAAACAGTTTGGTGGTGAACGACCAAAGAAACACGAAGAGAAGTTCCCTTCTGTTTTCAAATACAATAGAAAACCATGTATTTTCATATCCTACTATCAGCATCAGACATCGATCCAAAAGTCAGGTTGGGCTGTGTTGTGAGGAAATGTTTTTCAGTTGCGTGCATGCACTTGAGGTATCCAAGAACATGATTTTGAAACAGCTTTGTGATGCGGAGAGATCAAATTCAAATAATAATAATAAAAATGATTTTTTTTGTATTTGATATAGTACCTGTGACTCTAAATATCATGAGATGCTTCACAAGGCCTGTCAAGAATAGTGACTATGTATCTTTAGGCAAACTCGACAGCCATTTTACCCACGAAGCCCCCTTTCCCCCAGCAAAGGTTTCTCAAATAAAAGAATGAAGTTGATTTTTTTTATTAGGTGTTTGAAAGCAGTTCTTAATTTTACAAAGATGCACAGAGATGGTATGGCCCAATTGGAACCATTAAGTAGGTGATATTGTATTTGATTTGCAAACAAATCCACCTTGCAACCTCAGTGCAACCTCAGTGAATCCCCTGCTGTTCTTACGGGCAATTCAGAAATATTTAAAGTTATAAAAATAATCTCGATGTTCCCAGTGAGGATTCAGCAGCTCAGCTTTGCAATTAGACCCCAAATCAATAAGAGGATCAAATGCCCACATATTAATATTTATGCAGTAGAGTTACTTTATCTTGTCATCTATATTGCTATAAACAAACATTTGTGCTGCATTAGCGGTGTGTTTTTCACATTTGCCAAAATCTTTGGCAGCTAGCTGGAGCTGCTCTGAGTTAAATACATTGCAGATTGGATTCAAATGGAAAAAAAGGGTGATCCTAACCCCAGGCTTTCACATGAGGGAGAGGGGAATGGAAGGGTAGGAGAGAGAATAAGCAATGGATGAAAACTCGTGTGGGGTACAAAGTATGGGTGCACATCTGGTTACCTGACTTGCTCGGGCAGTCGTGCAGACATGGTTCAGGTCTGCATTGCCCTTTTGACAATTTGGGGTTTAGAAGAGTTTGGGAGGGATTGGGGCTTGTCTGCGGGGACAACCCTTGTTCCCAAAGTGGAACGTATTTGGTCTAATTTGGTTAATGGGGGTGAGTTACAAGATCCACCTTGTAATAACGTATGGGTAGAGTGGGATGATATAAGTCTGAACTTACAATTAAACTCAGGACATTTTCAATGTATAGCACGGAAACAGGCCACGCAGCCAAACTAGTCGATGCTGGGACAAGTTGGGCTGAGTGGCCTGTTTCCATGCTGTACCGCATTTGTAAATGTCCTAAGTCCAATTTCTTCAAAGTAATTGCAAGTTCAGACTTATATCAACTCACCCTACCC